TGTAGGCAAACTGAAATCAGTGAAGAAGCTTAGCTACGTTATCAAGGCCAACGAGTAGAACATTGGACACACGGGATTCGTGTTTCTTTTTCCTGTTAGATAATCATATCAGCCATTACGTCAGGTGTTGAGGGCCCAGTTTCACAAAGGAAATGTACGCTGTTGTGGACCACAGTAATCACACAACCCTTGAATGTGACTCGTGGTAGTCTTATAGAAATGCAAATTGAAAAAAAGAAAAGAAATAACATTGACTCATTTTTTAGATGTGACCGGTGTTATATCGTTGACAACTCAAGACGCAGTGACTTGGACAATAAATAAAAGAATATTATAATATAAGTATTCTAAATCATGAAATATTGTATAATCGATCCACCTTCTGTACTCAGATTGTCCAGGTGCTCAGAGGTTTATCTCCAGGGTGGCTTAACAGGAATCACACACAAGACCCAATATCTGTGTTAATCTAAATGCGTCTTTGTTACGTCGCTTGAAGTGACTCCATAATAATCCTAAGAAACTAAACCACGACTTGTTTATAAGAGCTTGGGTAACGCCCGGTATAGCTTCTTAAACTTAGAATGATCAGTTGTATATAAAAAATCCGAAGAGGACCTCTTATATGAAGATATAGTCTAGAGGCAGTGCAGTGAGAGAATATGAAATCACTTTTATGAACGTGTTCAGGCCTGTGTTGGTTTTGCTTGTGACATAAGAAAGTCATCATCGTTATGAATTGTACAGTTTGAATCCAAAGTTTCAAAAGAATGTTCCATTAAAATTTATGAAAATTTTGGATCACTTTGCAACAAAAATTTCTTAGGCAGGTGTACGCATGAATTTGAAGAGTCACGCGTTGACAAAGAGGCTCACAGATCTGATAGATGGATAGACATATCCATATAGGTTGATTTTCATTAATTATTAAATTTATATTACAGATACACCTTATTGTAATAAGTGTTGTATAATAATGATTATTAGTCTCCCTCAGGTTAAAATGTTAACGGTAAATACAAGGAGAAAAGGCTCTGCACATAATTATGTCTTAGTTGTAATAATACGATTTATTTACGGTATTAATTTATCTAGTAGCCACGGTGGTCTAGCGGTTAGAACACTGGCCTTGTAATCCTGGGGTCTCGGGTTCGATTCCCGGCGGTTCCCGAATTTATAACTTGTGTTGGGCAAGGCCGTGGTTCTAGGCAACACGGAGTTTTCCTCCGGGGGCTTCCCCGGTTTCTCCGTGGCATCCCAACAATTACTCCATTCACACACAGAAGAAGGCAATGGCAAACCACTTCTGGATCATCTGCCAAGAACGTATATGAACAGGTCCCAGTCCGAGAAAAGGATGGAAGGATCCTGTTAATATGGACCTGTCGTCAGACAGAACACTAAATAAATAAATAAAATGAATTTATCTATTGAGCAAAATTTAATATTTGCATTCCAATTCTAACAGTTTAAATACGTATGTGGGGTGTCGGGAAGTGTTTTTTATGTAATTCAACAACTCACAGAAATAAATGACAAACGGGTATTTACTACAAATTGGAATGGAAATCTGGTTGAATCTAAGGTAAAGATTAAATTATTCCTGAAACGAATGAAGGTGTATGGGGGGCGTCATGTTGGACTTTCACCCATGCTCAGTCTTGGGACACTATAGAGTCCACGTGACTAGTCACATTTCCTTCTGTTTTATCATATTACCATATTATCACGTGGACGTGTGTCGACCGTGTTAGTCTGGCTAACACTGGAAAACTGAAATTAAAAGTTTTCCGTCTTACTTTTGTGTGCGTTTAAGCATAAGCCACAATTAGCTGGATAACAGCGCCTGGCTGGCTATAGCAGGTTAACGATGCGTTTTATCTGATCGGTTCTGCTGTGTTGCAGTGTAAGGAGTACCATTAAACCACGAAAGTAAGACAACGTAATTTTTATTTTTTATTTTTAAATATGTTAGCCGGGATTACGCACCGTAACATGAGCGTTTCGCCCCTGCTGTGGATGTTAGCTGGGTTTTGGAGCCGGTCTGAACGAGGCAAAAGGTTCCCCAAATACCCCTGTCAGGGACTGAAATCTGTTACTCCCAGTACATTTAATTAGAGGATGCAGTATTATTTGGAAAGTCTGTTAACATTGGTATTCATGGGCTTTATAAATGCCAGTACTTTTGTAAGATTTTTAAAAAAATACACTTTCTTGTTATCCCAAATATTTTAGGGGTAATCTGAACCCTTAAACCCCCGCTCCAAATACTGAACTTTTTTCATCCCGTGGGCGGTCATTTTATTGAGCTATGACGAATGCAATTTCCCGTGAGATCATGGTTGTGGCGGTTGAAAGTTGGCTAGTGTTAGCAGGTGCTGGAGTTCTGAGGGAACAAATCTCCTCTGACCACGTTGAAGGAGAGCCGAGCTTGTTCCTGACTTCTAAGACGCTCCTGCGTATATTTTTATGTCTCGGATACGAAAGGATTATGATAATACAAATTACGACAACAGTGATCTGAGAACTGCAGTAATTTGTCCAAACAGAAAACATATTTAGTACACCTTTTAAATACGCTTTTTATTAAATTACCATTTCAGTTATTTATTTGTATCGAAGCTCATAATATGAGCCGGGATAGCTCAGTCAGTATAGTGACTGGCTACGGGTTGGACGGCCGAGGTTTGATCCCCGACGGGGGCAGAGGATTTTTCCTCTAGCCTCTGGGGCCCACCCAGCCTCCTCTACAATGGGTACCGGGGTCCTTTCCCGGGGGTAAAGCCGGCCCGGGCGTGATGCTGACCACTCACCCCCATCTAGTGCCGAGGTCAAGGAAGAAAGGAGCTATACCTCCACTCCCCCCAAACGCCTACATGGCGTATAGTGGGACAAACTTCATCGAAGCTCATAAACTGTAAAGTTGCAGAGATGTCGTAATTAACAAACCCTTCTTAGAATTACACACAAGATATTCACTGTTACGATAACTTAGTCATGTATCCCCGAAGTCGTAATAATTATTCGACTTTTTTTTTCAAAGGGACATGCTACAACTATCTTAATTTTAATTGTGACCCCGAGGATTTTTTCCTGCAAATACTGCATTTGCACAACAATTCGTATTGTCATTATTCCTTTGCCACGCCTTCGCCGGTTTGGTCACCCCTTTGCCACTACCATCTCCCTGGAATTCCTCACGAAGAGATAGTAATTTGAGACATCAGTGCACGAACGGAACATAATGGACAGAGCACCGTGGGAGAGATATCGGTCCACCACTAAATAACCAACTCCGTAAATTTCCCGCCTTTCAAAGAACCTGAAGGTTCATTACAGGACTTCACGAGTTCCTGTTCTGAGCCACAGATTCAAAGTCCACATTCTCACACCCCATTTTACAGTTTATAATGTGCATACCATCTATTAATGAAATGTTGCGCAGGAATTCTGGAACCATGTGCACTGGACACTCACGCAGTGACGTCACTGGGGCCAGCTACTCCTCCCCTCCGCGCGCCGCGCTAACTGCGTGTTACTACGAGGCAGCAGCCAGTCAGACGGTGCTTGGAGTCCCAATGAAGTTGACGTATTCTGTGGTGCCGCGATACAGCTAACTGCGTCGTAACATTTCGCGATGTGTTGTGTGTCTCATAACAGGATCTTCCACTAAGAGCCTGCGATTACAACGAACGACTGTGGATTAGTCTCTCGATACGGTTTTATCTTACCGCTGTTACGTCATCAAATCACATGATTTAGACCGAACGAGCTCAGTGGTAAAGTGAGGTGAACTTGGTTATGTGTGTAACACCTGTGAAAGGAGGCGTGTTTGTCTCGTGTTGCGTTGAATTTGTTGACAGTTGTTTCGGAGTTTAGTTTACACTCCTTCAAGTAATCATGATGGAACCTCCGCTTTCGGAATTGGACGCCGGCTTCGAGCCTCAGCAACGAGCCCGATCGAACACGTGGCCTTTACCGCGACCGGACAATTTCGTGGATATCAAGGAAGAACCGGGTATTAAATGCCCTGGTGGGGTAGTGTTACCCTGCGGGGGTGTGATGGGACCCGAGGGAACTCTTCCGGGCGTCCTGCAATTACCCGCTGCTGCAAAGAAGAACTCCAGCCGACGCAACGCGTGGGGGAACCTGTCGTACGCCGATCTCATCACCCAGGCCATCCAGTCAGCACCCGAAAAGCGCCTCACTCTGTCCCAGATCTACGAATGGATGGTCCAGAACGTGCCCTACTTCAAGGATAAGGGTGACAGCAACAGCTCCGCCGGATGGAAGGTAAACATTATTGGTTATGTTCCACCTTTTGTTTTGTTCCGTGCTTGGTGCAGACGAATACATGCGAGTAAGTGATGAAATTGATCAGCGTTATCGATGTAAACATTACGATTGTTAATTATGAATGTTGGGGTTGCTTTTGACTGGAGAAGTTAAAAACCGTGACACGTTTCTATCACGGCAGCTATTTTTCCTTGGCGCGTGTCTCACGGCAATTGTTTTTGTACTGAGTCATTCGATTAATCGAATGTCATTTGTTTCAGCTTCGATATTATGTAGGCTTATTATCGAATGAGATGAGAAGGTCGTGTATGGTTAAATAAACGTAGCCTGTTTACCTGGAGATACACAGGAAAACAATAGTTTTTGAATGTCGCATTGCACGATGTAAATGTTTAGAAGTTTACAAATATTTATGACGTGGGCCTGTGTTAAGTTAACAGTGACGAAATAAAAACAATTATGACGTCAACGGCAGCAACAGTAATGATACACAAAGAAAGTCACGGTTCATGGTTTTTATTTATCAGTCGGTCGTTCATATGACCAAGAAACTCTGTGCTGTTACGGAACCGGAAGGTACTTTGGAAAACTTGCTGTTATTCTTACATTTCACTTTTCTTTGATAAAATGGCGACGTGCAGGCACGGTGTTCGGTCTTGGTAGTATAGTAACAGTAGAATATCCCTTTTGACGTCGTGTCGAAAAAGAACGTTTGATGTAATATGACTCTCTGTTGCGACATTAGCCGGAGTTTTAAAATGTTGTGTATTAAATGACTTGCGTAAGAATCCGAAGGCGATGTCAGCAGATGTAGTTAACACGTAATTTAAAGACGTCTTCCACGTTGAGTAATATATGCGGCGAGGTGTCTGACGAATACATTTTTACTGGTTTAAATACGTTCATTCATGACTTGAAAGTTTTCAAAACTGACTTACATTTCGTCGTTCGTAACGTAACAATTAAACATATACATGCATTTTTATATTTTACAATTACAATTTACAAAAGACAATTGAACTTCTTCTATCAGGGAGAGACGCAGTCAGATTGATCACGTCTTAATAGATAAAAGTCTGAATTAAAGTGATTTAAACAAGCATAAACCATTGTTTGACGAAGAACGCCCAAAATTATTAGATCGGAGGAAATTATAATGACTGCATAATTCAAGCCAAAATGAATGAAAATACAGTAGACTCCCGAATATCTGGGGTATAATTAACCAGAGTCTCTCTGGTTTAAACGAAAGTTTAAAATTAATTTTAAAATAACTTTTGGAACGTTTAAAAATAACGGAATAAATACAATATATTATTCAACGTACTAACGTAAATTCTTGCCGAAATTAACGACACCATAACGTATTGTGTCCGTTTAAAAACATTTGGTATGTACTGTATTAAAATTCTTATAAAATCCCTTCTGTTATTAGTAAATATTTATAAATTTAATTAGTGTATCTCTGTAAATAAACGTAGGTATTTGTCAGATTTGCGTATTTCCCGAGGTTTTGATTATCCTTGAAAATTAAGTGTAAGACGTGATACTAGTTGAACTTTAAGGGGGCTTTGGTATTTGCGGGTGGTTAATGTCCAGCTTCTTATTAAATCTTACGACGCTAACATAAAATGAGGAAAAGGAATTGTAGATTCTATTTGAGATATAAAAATCCAGACATTGCGTACATTTGCGAAATCGGCTTGTGGCCAGACGGTTATCTCGAGTTTGCAAACTCTGAACTACACATAAACTGCAGTCAATTAAAAACGGGAATCGAGGTTGCGGTGAGAGGTCAGGAAAAGAACGTCTGAAGCAAATATTAAGACAACTTGCCAAGGCATTTATGTCGTAAATAGAAGATTTAACTCGACAAAAAAGGTTTTACAAATATTTAAAGAGGGCGATGCGAAGGTGAGAATGGCCTTCATGAGGAAGGAAATATTAACAAGAAGTAACAGCAGAATTCGAAGAAAGATTCAGAAATTCAAAAAAAAAAGGGGTGAATGTTCCGGTCGAAAAATTTCTCCGGGCAGATAGCAGTGGGCTGCGTTTGTTTCAAGTGCTATAACAGCCTCAAACCACATTGTGCGTTTTATAACATCTTACGATGGCCAACGTCCGAATAATCCAACATCCAGATTGTATTAAACCATCGTCAGAACCCTTCAGAAATAATTTGTTTCATTCACTGTATTTTTAAATTTGTAAATAATAAAAGGCCAGGTTGAAGGAAAGTGAGGACTGGGAAGAAGACTGATACAGCTAACCGACTATCTGAAACAAGGAAAGAAGATGAAGTTTTAGGAATTAAAACGAGAAGCTGAGGATAGGGAAAACTGGAGAGCTGTTTTGGGGCAGAGCAATGGACCTGTCGTCAGACAGAACACTAAATAATAAATAATGAATAAATAAATATTTGCAAAAGTTTGGGAGAGGGTAGTTATTGCCCTGTGAACCCCCCTCCAAATATTAATTTTATCAGAAAAATTAAAAAATCTTCCAGGACTTTAACGAATTAATCATATGCGGATAAACGGGAAAAGTTGAAAGGCTTGGAGCGTTGTTATAATAGAATCACGCGGACGGGTGTGCAGACACGAATACTTTGGAGATGTGCTACCGTTGACCGTGGCTTAACCCACAATACATTTTAGGTTTCAAAATAACAAGATCATATAATCATAAACGCAATTGGTACTAAGCATTTAATAAACGTGTTTAGCGTATATATTTAGCGTCTAAAGGCGAATGATTCATCGGTTATAACAGTCACACCAAATTATTTCAGTTTTTATTTTACGTTGTTCTGTAATAGAACTTTATCACCATTGAGAACTCCTGCAGGCCCTACACTGAGTAAAACACATGCTGGGCCGTGGCCGACTTTTTTATGTTGGTTGTGACAGGAAGTGGCGAGATTTCGAATGAAACTGGTGTCCAGTTTGATGTTAATCGGTGGTGTGTGTAGTTGAATCGCGGGACACACGCAGAGGCACGCAGGTACCATACGTATCTTCTCCCAGAGCAGGGTCTGGTGAGCTGTTATCTCGTCTCTCGTCCTACGTCATTCCTCGGTCCAACAAACTTGAACTGATCTCGTATTTGGAACAGATTAACTTCAAGAGGAACTGTTCACATTTTTAAACATTTGCTGATAGAACTCCTGCTGTATGAATCGAAAATTTAAGGTCGTTTTTCACGGACGCTGCCCTAGAAGTTAATAGCACTGAGACATTGCTTTCTTTTGAATAATTTTATCTGTTTACAATGCTTGTAAAGTAATAATAACATTACTGAACCCGCGTACGTATTCAATCAGAATGGTACTTCAATATTTACTTACGCATTGTCATAATTCATTTATGTATTTATTTGAATGGTTTTCTGCAGGTAAACATTCTTAAAATCAGATACTATCCGGACACATGCCTGCCTCAACGTGTTGTATTGTCGCTATGTTTGTAAATTTTAATGTACAAAAATATATTCATTTTACATATCCATGTCTGTGCACGGTTATGACGTATGTCAATACCTAATGACACGTGACTGGCTTCGTTCGTACGTTAGGTATGGTTATAAAAAAGAACATTATGTAAGCTTGGACTGTAGATTTTGTGCGATGCTGAGTTGTTGATTGAAGCCTACACTATAAAAAAAGTGACCTTAGCAAAATTTATAATCGTCTTTGAAAATCTGTTTTCACACATAGCAGGGTCCTTTTCTAATTGTTGTAATTATATCTCTCACTTCAGAATATACGCGATCGCCATTTTGATATTGTAAATGACAGGGAGCCACGGTAGTCTAGCGGTTAGAACGCTGGCCTTGTAATCCTGGGGTCTCGGGTGCCCGAATTTATAACTTGTGTTGGGCAAGGCCGTGGTCTAGGCAACACGGAGTTTTCCTCCG